TGCAATAAGAATAATAAACATGCTTATGCTAGTATGTCTGTTGCTGCACAGCCCAAGGTTAAATGTCTATGATACAAAGCTGGTAACTTTGTATCATAGACATTTGTATCAAGCTGGTAACTTTGTATCAAGAATTCCTAAGGGAGCTTCATCAATTGCATGGGAAAAGAGGGCACCAGGTTTCTAAGACTTCTTCTCTGATAAAATACTTAATGCAAATAAAATGCCTAAACATTATGGAATTTGCATGACTCCACATTATCTCCATGACAAAAAACTCTCTTCCCTCAGGCGCTTATACGCTGGCACAGCAAGTTTCGATGCTGACAGAGATGAGAAAAAGGACTGAGAAACGACTGAAAAAGGTGCTATTACATAAATTCTCTAGCCAGAGACAAGGACTGCAGTGCAACTGCACCACACCTGCATGGACAGCACAGCTAAGGACAGAGACAGAAAATGCCAGTTTAGCAGAAATCTGGGGGGGGTGGTTCACACCTCTTTTACTCTCAGTCTCCGTTGCCTCTCCACAATATGGACAATATGGAAATTATTTGCAGAGCCATGTTTCAGAATGGACTAATTTTTAGTACAGAGCTCACAACATAGCAAGGAAGTCCTAAAAAGCTTGCACTACCTCAGTTTTCACAATCACACCCTAACACGTGAATGGAGTTTCATGCTGGCAATAGCTTCCAGTGCCTAAAGGGGCTACAGGAAACCTGGAGAGGGGCTTTGGACTACGGCCTGTAGGAACAGGACAAGGGGAATGGCTTTAACCTGCCAGAGGGGAGATTGAGATGAGCTCTGAGGCAGAAGCTCTTCCCTGTGAGGGTGGTGAGGCGCTGGCACAGGGTGCCCAGAGAAGCTGGGGCTGCCCCATCCCTGGCAGTGTTCAAGGCCAGGTTGGACACAGGGGCTTGGAGCAACCTGGTCTTGTGGAAGGTGTCCCTGCCCGTGGCAGGGGTTGGAACTGGATGAGCTTTATGGCCTCTTCCAGCTCAAAGCAGTCTGTGATCCTACCACACGGGATGAAGCCACACGGTAGCTCACGCTGGTCAGAACACAGCAGCACAACGGGCAGCGAAGCAGGAGCCCC